ATGGAAGCGATATATTCCCCCAAACGTTTGTAACGATCTATCAAATATATACCAGAAGACAGTAATATTCATTGAGAAATATCATTACTAGATGCGAGTTGAAGAAAGAGGCTGAGAAATCAAAATGTAAATAAGTCGTGATGAAGGAAATATTGTGACATGGGGAGACTGAAGGCCGTACAGCGATTCTTACATATTGCTATACATCAAGATTAAAACTCAGAACACATAATCGATAAAAAAATGTAAAACGAAATGTCATTTCCTTATTCCAAAAATCCATGGTTTTATGGAAAATGAAGTTCAATCAATCTCAAAATATGAGTCCCGAGCTTAATCAAAATTTAAATCGTATCAAACAAGTTCACATAATAGAACGTTATTTCACTAATCCACTTTAATAATAACCTCTCATCTAGATTTTCCATCAGACCAAATTTTCAATTTATTTTTCTGAGAGCGATAGACCAGGTTCCTTATCGATACAAAATATTATTATGATATTGTGGCATGTCGACCCGTTGTTAGGCAATGACCGCGAATTAAACAACTATATAACAGCTGTTGCTAGTTAAAGGCTTCGCCAACAGACACGAAAGCAACAATTGTAATGCAACAGAGGAGAAGTGTTTTCTTCGCGGTCCATGTCGAGATGTAAGCAGGACAAGTGAGGAGTCTGTGAATTAGTGAAGAGTCAATTGCTGAGTCAGTGACTGAGATATATGACTGCTGCGGTTCAGTTTTTGTGACCTGTTGCTGCGAGAAACTGGTACCTGAGGCCGGGAATAGTTCGGGAACCCAGAGGAACGGGGACGTCTGCCGTTGAAAGCCGCTACTCAGCAACGGCAATGAAGACGTGACTGTGGACACTAGTTTGTCTCTTTGTGTGTACCAGTGTACTGTAAAGTGCAGTCACGCGCTGTACTAAAGAGTTAAATAAATACAATTACCAATCTAAACCTTGTCTATAATCACTCTAAATTCGTGCAGTGTGACGTGAATGGCGCAATAGGAAGTAGGGGTCACGTGAACTTTGCGGTCTCGCGAGTGACGTCACATCCTCACTCCTTCCATCATTACGCAACGCTCGGTAAACATCCCCTCCCCCGCGGTGACGTAACAGCACTTCTCACTGTGACGTAACACGGGACACCGCTGTTGACACAAGCAACAGGGAACGGTATAAAAAGCCGGTTGAGCAGTGTGTGATCAGGAGTGACACAGTGCGGATCGTGAAGTCGCCGAGTGCAGCAGATGTCTAGCAGTCGCCGAGAGCAGGGGATGTAACTGTGATACTGCCGATTGCAGTACTTGTGAAATTGTGAATTGTGTGAGTGTGAGAGCGAATGTGTAATAAATTCGCTATATTCAATACGGAGTGAAGTCATTTGTCGCGTGTATACACCCAACACGTGACAATTGGTGTCAGAAGTGTCTACGAACTTAAAAACGCCTCACTCTACGAAGAATTCTTGAATTCACAAGTACATCGAGTGTTATCCTACAAAAAAGAAATGGAGAAACAAGATATGCAGCGAATAATTGAAATGCTGGCGAAGGCAGAGGCTGATAGAAAAACCGACAAGGAAGTATTGAAGGCCGATAAAAAGACTGGCAAAGAAGAAATGCTGGCGTGAATGGACGCCAACATGAAATCCTACCAAGAAAAGACGGAGGCCAATAGGAGAACCAACCAAGCTGAGTTGCTGGCCATAATGGAGGCTGACCGAGAGGAGTGGAGAGTCGCCCAAGAAAAACTGCGAAAGGAAATCAAAGCCTGGCGAGAAGAAATCCCCTCGATGTGGTTTGAGACAACGAATACCAGAAAAGAGAAATGGCCTGTCAAGAGATGGAGGCATGTCTAGAAGAGAAAAAGCCGACCTCATTGGAAACGAAACCTGAGGTGGCTCAACAACGAGAAGTCGCCATTGAAAACACCGTACTGAAACCGATCAAAGGACGAAAGAAGCGGGATAGGGGCAAGAAGCAAACTGCAGGGCGACGTGGAGAGTCAAAGGAACAGACCTGAGGCGATTGTGGATCCCGGATGATGTTGGCTGCCGCCTGCAAGAAGGTGTCCCGCCGTGCAACAGTGGCATGGCGCAAGAGGAACATCTTCAGGAAATCTTGGACCCAAAGAATCTGTGGACAGCGGAAAGAAGGAACCGCAGCCATGAGGAAGATTACACGCTGTGCAGGACACAAGCGTACGGGACAAAAGAAGAATAAGCTCGCACCGAAAATCACCAAGAAACGGACGTTTGAGAAGAGACTGTGGAAAGGCCCGGAATGCAACACTGGCATAAGGGACCGAGGCCTGAGACAGCAACTACAAGGCAGAAATGGAGTGGGGGACCTAGACGGCGGACAGCCACGATATCTGAAAAAAACCAGACCTGAAGAAGGTACAAGTGGAAAGCACGGAAAATTTCGACAAGAATTTCACGAAAACTACAAGACTGGATATCGCCAAACGAATGGTCAGATCTACTGTTAGGTTAGGAAAAATAAGGAAATGTAACTTGTGGAGCGGTCGACACTCTCCAAAACGGAAAAAGATACTTCAAGCAAAGGATGAGCCTGTAAAGTAGAAGTACTGATTTCCCCAGCGAGAGTGAATGTGCGATGGATGAATGTGAGGGACGACTGTGATACAACTGGATCTCCTGGCACGTTAGCAGGAAACCGCTCGAGACAAGCTGGTCTTAGAGAGGGAGCGGATGTAGCGGTTGGAGAACGGGCAACGGGAAGAAAAAGGAAAGGTGATGTACCGTTAGGCTGTTCGAGACGAACAACCTTTAGAAGGGAGCAGTGTGACGTGGATGGCGCAACAGGAAGTAGGGGTCACGTGAACTCTTCGATCTCGCGAGTGACGTCACACCCTCACTCCTTCCATCGCTCGGTAAACATCCCCTCCCCCGCGGTGAAGTAACAGCACTTCCCACTGTGACGTAACAAAGGGGCACCGCTGGTAACATGAGGCAACAGGGAACGGTATAAAAAGCCGGCTGAGCGGTATGTGAGCAGAGTGTGTGATCAGGAGTGACACAGTGTGGATCGTGAAGCCAGACAGAGAAGGTGAAGTCCAGCAGCCGCGAGTTGTGTTGTATCGAGTGCATGGCAGGGACTCCAGCAGTGGATGTAATTGTGATCCTGCAGATGACAGTGTTTTGGAAATTGTAAATTGTTCAAGTGTAAGAGCGAATGTGGAATAAATTCGCTAGATCCAGAACGGCGTGAAGGTATTTGTCGCGTGACATGCCCAACACATTACAATATCTTCGATTGTTACCCCGAAATTCGAATTTGTTTTGGCACAGTTCGTTTGACACTCGTTTTATTCCGTCCTTTCTTTCGTCAACTGAATCCTCCTCTTCATCGTTGTTTATAACTTAGGGTAAATTCACGGATTCCATGTTGTGCTATCCACCGGTGATCTTCGATTATCTTATAACTAACGCCTTGGAGCAGAATCCTTCTTGGGAATCTTAGAGACGGTCAGCTGTCCAAAAGCTTCTTGGACTTTTGCGGAACAAGAAGGTTCATTTCAGTTTTCGCAAGAGCCCGCCACTGGACTCTCTGCCGGGCCAACTGAACCCAACCATCCGCCTTAAACCATAATTCCCTAGGAACAATTTTAACACTCAGCTCCCTTCTAACCCTAAGCCTTCCAAACCCTTTGCCCTTCAAGTCAAAGTCAAATGTACTTTACGACTGGCGGTTTACCGCCAATCGGTTGCTCTTGGCGCCATGCCCTTGAGGTTCACGAACAGAGACTTTTTTGTTTAATGAACCCTTGCGGTCATAGTCTTTATGTAACATCCTCTCTGATGAGAGCATGGGTTTGTCTCTTATGAATACGATTAGCCTTTTGTCAAGTGTAACTACTCTCACTAATCTACACAATCTAGAAGATATACGACTACCAATAAATGCTAGTTTTTACTATTCGTTGCCTGGTACCGGCATCTAACATTGCCTTAATTTTGTTCCGACCGAACTTTTATATGCATTCCCAAACTACCACATACGTGCTGTGTGTAACGATGAACTCACCACATTCTAGAGTAAATTACTTCTTTCTCGCTTCATGTTAAATATTTTGAGTTCTTGTGACGTTCATAACTCTTCCAAGGACAGTATAGCTCACACGAAGTAACGTGCAAAACCACGCTTTCATATTGTCAGGTGATAGTAATGTAGTGTCAGTATATACATTTGTGAGCTCACTTCTAGAAATAAGTGATGAGAATGCAGCAGAAGTTGGAGTGAGGAAGACTACTTCAATGGTACATGAGTCGGTGAAATAAATAAAGAAATTGTTCAAAACATAAAGCAATGTATAATTCAGGAGGATAATTTTTTTCCACACTGCTTATTGTGAGAACATTTTTGCCTACTGTTTAATATCGTAGACATCTCTTAAAATTTGTGAAAAATCTATTATCTAGAGAGATAAACAGGCTATGCAGCCGATATAAATGTGCTCAATTGAACATCAACTTTCGGAATACACGTCCTGGGAAAAGAATTTCTCATATGTTGCGAGATATTTCTGAAGAGTTTCCAGCCTGTAAGCTCCCAGCTTGATAGAGCCCTAGCCCATATCATGACTAAACCTTTCACGGACTTATGAATTATATAAAATATACTGAATAGAAACTTTAAAAAGAGACCATATATAAAGGTTGACTATAAATCTACTCCCTACTCTGTTGAAGCAAGAGAAAGTTTCCTGTGGGAAAGCACTGAGTGTAAGAGAAACGTGTGAAAGTGATATCACTTCAAATTCAAGGAAAGAAGCGCACAGAAATTATAGAATATTCTTATGTCTATACTGTTTTGATTTAAACAAAAAAGACAGAGCTTTAGGGACACACTGTATTTCCAGAGGGCTGATACTTTTCTCACGGACTCGGAAAGTTTGCTGTCTCGTCACACTACAAAAAAATAAACCGACCAGTGTTTCCGGAAAGAGATCTAAAACGAGCCTGACTCACCTCCACTGGCTCCACTTCCGTTCAGGACAGGTGACACATTTCCGGTGCTGACGGCTTGGCCGTTGGCGCCGTTCTGCAGCGCCGCGGTGAGGCCACTAGGCGTGGCATATCGCAAGGACGTGGTACTGCTGGAGATAGCAGCAGTTATGGGACTCGTCGAGTTTGAGTTTCCGCCCGCAGACATAGGGGTGGCTGTAGAGAGCATGAGGCGCGCACCTTCGGGGCTGTCGGGCGTCTTCACCCGCTCCTTCGTGGCCCCTGCAAACAGAGATTTAACTTCACTTACAGTTTAACCTTCTGCACTTGAAATACGAGAAGTGGAGGCAGTAAGGGTACACACTACCCATCCTTCCGAATTTTCTCGGGCTATCAGCCGTGGCAGTTGATTTCGAACTACCGACGTTTCACCATATCACCATCTCTGTTTCCATCGTTAGGATCTCAAGTGACACAAGGTTAAGACCGCCGCGGCCCGTGACCGGAACTGAGAACAAGTGTTAACGAGTGGAGTCAGAAGTTTCCTTTTCTTGGTCTTGTCTCCGGATTGGTTAGTCTCGGTATTGCTTTATCACATTTGTCACCGGCTACCACGACCGACTAAGACTGAGGTCGGCCGCGCCATAGCTCAAGTGGTTAGTCGCTGGCTTCCCACCGCGGCAGTCCGGGTTCGATCTCGGGTCTAGTCAATCGGGATTTGTGGTAGACAAAGTGGCGCTGGGGCGGGTATTCTACTGGTACTTCGGTTTCCCCTGCCAATCTCCGTTCCACCAAATTCTCCATCATCATAATTACTTGGAGCAGGCTACAATAAGCCAATCAGTGGCCGCCGTGCCGAGTGGACCCAGTTGGACTCCACCCCCAACTATGCGAATTAAAAAAAAAGACTGTGATCCCTGTTGAGGTTTCCGGGGTGGAGCCTGATTTCAGTGATTTCGTTGTCTACTGCTCAGAAACTTAATTTAGTTGCCAATAATCCAGTAACTTCATTTTTTCCCCTATGGCTCTACAGCCCTTTGGACCTTGGCCAATTTATCTGTTTCTAGATCCTATTTACAGTCGGTAGGACATCATCGACGGGGGATCATCCCGTCGCAAGACTGCTACCTACATACAGAACAACATAAACACAGAATAAACACAAACAGACATCCATGCCTTGAGTGGGGTTCGAACCCATGATCCCAGCGTTCGAGCGGGCGAAGACAGTTCATGCCTTAGACCGCTCGGCTACCGTGACCGGCTCACAGTAACTCCATCCAGTGTTACTGTGTAACCCTCATACCACAGTTCCTCATTTGCTAATCAGGAAGAACCTCAATGAAGGTTCTCTCTCTACAGGTGCATGCGGCTTCATAACTATTAACAACATGCGCTGTTTAGTCAGCTCAGTCAAAGGCCCTGTCAAATCTGCCTATGATTCTCCTATTCAGGAGCAGAGATAGCCCAGTCGGTATAACGAGGGGCTACGGACTAGACCGAGGTTCGCAGGCCGTCCAGCAATGGCGCCTTTCGTGTTGCCAAGGGATCGTGCTCAACAGATAAGCAGATTACAGCTTTCAGGCGTCATGTCACAATACCTTCAATTACGCTGTAAAATACGGCTTTGTTAATATCCCTGCATATATAGTATTTGTCTATCACAACAATCCATGTAATGGGCTTCTGTAATTTTCTTTAGGGATTCTGTTTTGAATATCCTTGTCGCAAGTTCTAGCATTTCTTATTACTTATCCTGAATATCTGAAGGTGTCACATCTTACACACAGTTTTCCATTCTCTAACTTATTCCCTAGAACATACGTACTCCATCTCAAAAGCAGAGATCCCACTTTTTATATCTCTCCATTAATATCTTCAATTATACCTCACAACCTCTTTCCTTAAAATATGTATGTTATGAAATATACGTGGCAAAACTCATGAAATATAAGTGCCGCGAATTGAATTGTTCAGGGAGATCGAAATGTCGCGCACATCAAACGAAAAGTTGTTATAAATTGTATTGCAGTAAATATAATTATATCTCCTACCGCTAGATGCTACTGTAGGAGTACTAACAACTAGTAGAAACGCCGTCTAACGTGTATCGGTCATACGAGTCTGCAGTATAGCTTTGTTTGTTGCGTGACAGACATGTCGCTCTCCCAAGAACGAGTTTTCATATGTTGGCAACCATGGAATTGAAGAGTTTGATCGGGTTTTCTTTACTGACGAAGCGTGCTTTCACCTTAGTGGCTACGTCAACAGTCAAAACAATAGGATTTGATCATCTGAAAATCCACATGTGTTACATGAAAAGCCCTTGCTCTGTCAGAAAATTGGAGTGTGGTATGCTGTATCACGTCATCGAATATTGGGCCCAATTTTCTTTGAAACAACAGTGAACAGTCCAGTGTACCAAGACATCATTACACAGTTTATTGCGCTTCTTGTAGTTGATGAACATGAGTGTTGGTTGCAGCAAAACACGCATCTAATGAAACCATGCAGTTCTTGCGCGAGTTTTTCGGTGACCATCTCATTTCGAAAGGATTGTCGCCACGCATTCGAAGCAATTATCTATAAAAACAATCCGCATAAACTGGATGACCTCAAGAGGAACATTACGACGGCGATTAACAGCATCAGTTTACAGGTGCTCAACAAAGTGGCCTCAGACATGGTAAAGAGAGCTCGCGCATGCATTGCTGAACAGGGAAGCCATTTCGAGCAAATATTGTAAAGACATGATTTGATTTTACATTTCGAAGATATAAGGTTATAAACATTAATAGTAAGTGTTGTATGTCTTATATGTGCATTAAACCAGCAAAATATAATTGCCTAATGTGATGTATGCGACTTCCCGATCTCTTTGTATTAAAATCTCCCGAAAGAGAGACTGGAATCATTTAGACTGCCAAATAAACTGGCTTATACAATGACTAGAACTTCCCCCAAATCAAGATTATTTGACAAACTGTAGTGCAGTTCCACCTTACAATAATTAACTCAATTCCGGTCGTGTAGTTTGGAGGCCTGTCACCTATGGACTCGAGCACATTACGAATGTAATAGGTACGGGTAATTTCCTTTCTGGAAATACATCTAAAAATATTCAATGATCGCATTTGCTTCCAAATGGAACATTGACGTGGAGAATCCGTAACGTACTGGAAACTTTAATCGCTGAAGCACTGAGATTATTCAGGGAATGTAGAAGGAAATTATTTCCAAAACTTGGACCAGACTGACAACGTATTCCTGGTTAATGTTTCACCCTTTCTGAACACAGCCGGGGAGCCATGCAGGAATCGCTGATTTAACACGAGTATTGTGGTATATAGACCCGTTACTAGGCAAGACCTCGAAACAAACAACGGGACAACAGCCGTTACTATGAAACGGCCCAGTAAACACACCACTTTAACAATACAGATACTGTTGGGAACCGTGTTTTCTAGTCGGTCGGTGCAAAAGGGTTATAAGGAAGACAACTGGGGCAGGGTCGAATATTTCAACTGTAGCCCTGCGAGTCGCAGGAGGTGACAGAAGGGGAAGTTTCGAATCTGAGACAGTAAAATATGGTCGCGAGTACAACGGGACTCAAACCCGAGAATGACTGCGCTGGTGAGAGCCAGCAGCAATTGTAAACGACAGACACGTCCTCTCGTCAGGAAGAGCTCCTCACATCAATAAACCGGTAACTGACAGTAATACAAATCTGGTCGTCAACCACAGATCAGTGCTTTATTCTAAGATAGACTTGCCGACTGACTGTCGGTTGTAACATAAGGCTCGACTCGACCCAGTTACTTGAATGTCAGCAAGTGAAGAGAAGACTAGGGGGTTGGTGTAAAATGGCCGCCAGCTTGGGAGTTTGTAGGCTTAGATCTGAGTTCTGCAAGGGAGGCTGTGAAGAGATGGCGCTGCAATCAAATTGACAGTTCAGTTGTGGAATGCTAACCAGCGGGCAACAGCGTGACCATAGAAGCTGAAAAATCTCCATTGTTAAGATTTGTTGCCAGGAAACGACTAGTGAAAGCAGACAGAAAACAGCGTGTAGTGATTGGTAAGCGATAGTGCAGTAAGAGCTTGTGGTGTGTATATTTGGTCAATAAATCCATTCGCCAATCTATACCCCCTCTACAGTAACCCCTAAATAGTGAGAGTATTGTCACAAATTCTAATCTAAAGACGATTATACAGCACATCGAATGTCGAATCTTTATTTCAAGCACTAATAGGACTGTGTTGATTTTGCGGATCAGAACATCAGACATAACCGTTTAATGCAATAGACAGTTGATGTTCTGTGAAATTCGTCGGCGTTCACAAGGGCGGGAGAGGATTTGGGGAGAGGCTATTTAAAACACATCCAGCTGGCTGTTTGACCCCAGCGGCGGTCAGCTGTTGACGTGAATTATCGGGAATTACATTGGATCAACTCAGAGAACTGCTTGTCACTAGCGGCTGACATGCCTTCTTTCCCACCAGACCTCTCCATAATTCTCTCTCTCTCTGCTCTTACTCCCATCTCCAGTCTCTCCTATCCGATCTATCACATTTTGTAACAATTAGCCACTTTTCATCCCTATTATCAGCCTTCATTCGTCTGGTATAGACTGAAGAATTTTCGAGCAAATTTCTTAGGCTTAAGCATGCATTTTACACTTATCTTAATTCATTTTTAAACTTATCGCCCTATTTGCCATTTTGTTTCCACAATTTTCATATTTCCCCGCCACTCTCACTGTTTTCAACAGAAGAATTATTCTACCCTTGACGTAACCATTGTTTACTTCTTTCAAGACTAACATCCAGCCTTAATCACTTTCTAAACCACTTTATTACCGCCATTTTCATATTTCTCTACCACTGCCGTTATCAGCAGGCAAAACCACTTTGCCCTTGACGTAACCTCTGTTACCACACTCCTTACAAGACTGGCGTCCAACCTTAATGAATTTCTGAACTTGTCGCCTTATTTTCTATTTTATTTCCATTATTTTCATGTCTCTCTACGAATCTCATTGCTTTCAACAGACAAATCAGCTTCACCCTTGGCTAAACCTCTGTTTACCACACACATTTCAAGACTGTGATGCAATTGTATAAGCTTCTTAGAAAATGTTCCATTGTGCCATACAATTTACTCTTCCTCAGTACTCCTATGCCGAAACTCATGCGACGTTCGCTACAGCAGAAATATTTCTCACAAGTGACTCATCTCATGTAGAAGAGAAAGGGAGTTACAAATACAGTTCCCCTGTCCCTGT